ACTTCCTAGACTTTTTAGCTTAGGAAGGAGCTTATATTGTATGATTGCACTGCACTCTTCTATCAATGTTACTATTTCATATTCTGGCAGCTTTTTCTTCTTAGTCAACACTCTTTCAAAAATATAGTATAATTTGGAATATATTGAATGGCGTCAATGAAAAGAATATTGATATAAAGTTGTTTGAGACATCATAGAATTTCTTGCATGGCTTTTCTAGCTTATTATTATACAACGACGCCAAAAATTTGTTCAGTAGAATTTTGTAAGCATAAGGGATAGCTAACAAGTAATAAATTTGAGCGAGTTTAGAGTATCGTCCAACATGAAATAATTTCAGTTCAAGTTTACTAATTATGTACGAAATCCGAATATGTAACACAAAAGAATTTTTAATGTGATTTATGCTAATTAATCTAAGAAAACTATAAAAGTTTAGTTTTTCTCAAAATTATGGATAATTGTATTGGATGTCGCATTCACCTATTACTATCTCTTTACATTCCCAATTATGTAACTGGTCTTATTCATCTATTCTTGACAATCGATACAGTTATGATATATAATTTTCTTTTCCAAGTTAATTAAATATATCATAAGCATGACCCAAATTTATTCCTAGTCTGAATTTGCATTATTAGAATGTGTTAAATTTTCAATTATCTATATGATTACACACGTGATAAATGTTATTCATAATATCCATTTCACCTATTTTAATTTTACCGTGTTTTAAACTTATTATGAGACTCTCAACACTACAACAAACAACTAATTATTTAATTGATGATCATGCATGCAATTAAATAATGTAATGTGTATGCAAGGTTAATCTAGAAACATAAGAAATACTAAACTACTATTCTCAAATTAAAATAAAGAAACAATAAGGTTGTCTTCATCCAATACAAAAATGGATCTAGCCTAGCATAATTGTATATAAATTACAAAAAGAATAATAGAAATTATCACTCGATTCATAAAATAATACAAAAGATGATTTTTAAGTTCAAGGTTGATTCGTCAAAATCTTGATGTAAATAACCTTCAATTCCTACTAGGGTTTGATCTTTCATAATATAACAATTGATCCCTTGTTTTTTATGAATGTAAAGGTATGATTATGTAAAGAGTCTAGAGAGAGTTTCCTCAATGTCTCCCTAAATCTTTATGTTTAGAGGAGTCGAATATTAGGCAAAAATCGCGTTCAATTTGGATTTCGAAAGAGTTATAGTCAAAAAGGAAAATTTGCCCCCCGCGAGCATGCCAACTTCTTCACCCCAGCTCGCAAGCAGGACGACTTGCTCTCAATTGATTTTTGCACAAGACGGCACAGCCACTCCAACTTTATTTCGAATAGCCGCATCAGCTATCATTTTCATCCTTGAGCGATCGTTAGTATTTTTGTGATAATTTTCTCTTTCGATATTCAATTGATATGACTCAAAAAATGTAGAAAAACTAACTCAAAGAGCTACAAATTTTCTAGAATAATATTTTTGTAACTTGAAATTTGTTATGCCAAAAATGGATCTCAATATGAGACTGAAAATTCGGAGCATAATTTTTTTGATTGAAAATTGATTTGTGAAAATACTTTAACTATATTTCACTCTTTTAATCTCCAATTGCATCTAATTGATCATATGTGATCTTCAACCATCGTTTTGTGGTCCAAATTAATTATTGAATGTTTACACTTTGATCCTTGAACTTTGAATTTCTTTCATTTTCGCCCTTTTTCGTTCATTTCTTCCAATTCCTCTAATTTATATTGAGTTCAACCTAAGAAATATAATTAACCCATAATTAAGCTATTATTCATCCAAATTACTAATAAATACTCCAATTTAATCGTCTCGATAAATGCACAAAATACATTTATCAGACTACTTCAAAATGGCAAAGATGATTATAAATAACATTACTTGTCCAAAATAGCTGAGCTAATTTCTCACCTTTATGACAAGTTTCGTTTTTGTGAACTTTTGTCAACTGAGACTTAGAGCAAAATTAAGTCAAATAATTCTTCAAGCTTGCTTGTTTGTTTGTTTGTTTTTTTTTTTTTTTTTTTATTCGTTCCAAGTGATAAAGGGTTTTTGAGTGAAAAATTATAGGTTGGACGTTAAATTTTTTCCTTGCTCTCTTTATGGTTTGTATAAAGAATAGAATTTTTACATGTGGTAATGACTGCTATTTTTTGTACGATATTCGAGAGTTTGAGTGACAGCGAAACACTAAATATTGTAACAATTTTTCATAAAGTGAAGATTTCAGGCTTTGAAAGCCCGTAAATTCATGTGTTAGTTTCCTCCATTAAATTTCATGATTTCTTTGTCTTCTTAATATTTCTCTGAACAATAATCCCGTGGATGAATTAAGGAATCTATCCCAAATCCCAACATAAATGCGAAAAAAATATTCTTAATCTTGACGTCTTTAATTTTCTTCAAAACGGTGCTTCTGACTCCCTTTTCCAATTCTTTCGTGTTAGGAGAAATTCAAAAAAATCAGCCCACTTCAATCAACAAAAATAGTAAATTGCAAAAACTGAAATGAAAGAAAAAAATGCAGAAAACACAAGAAAGAACGCGGTAGTTTCGCCATAAGACAAGAGGTTCTGAACTTCGTTCCTAATCACCTTTTGAGCTTCCGTCAAACGGAAGAAATCACTATATCAATGGAACCAAAATCTGTCCGGTACAATCTTCGTAGCACTCAGCCGAAATCACACAAGATTTCCCCCAAAATTAAGCCTCATAAACCGTACAACATTCACTCAAGAATGATGAATCGAAGCCTATACAACAATCACTCAAGATTATTTCAACATAAGTCTCTATACATTCGACAATGGCATTCACTCAATAATAACACCAATACACCTTGTTTAATCACTCAAGATTATTTATACAAGATTGGATTAATTTCTCATCAACAGGGGATAATTTTTGGAGTGCAAAAATTGATAGATTGAAGGACCACCGAGAGAGAGACGAGAGGTAGGGAGGAACTCGTGAGGTGAGAGAAAATAAGGAATCTGAATTCTGTGTTTCACGTCCAGCCAAGCCAATTAATATGGAAGCCATTAAATGTCTTCATCCAATAGTAGGTAATTTGACATTTGGCAAAATCTGGGCAGTCCATTTAAAATAAGAGAAAAACGTGTTCCAGCAGCTTACGTTTTTGGCAAAGTGAATCAGGTTTCTTTTAGCCCAGCACAGTTTCTTTCATTTAGTAGAAAAACTAGTCAAAATCAATGGTCAACTGGTCCAGTCAGCCACATCATTGTGCCACTTTCTCTACATTTCGATTTTGAATGTTGTTGAGTTATCCACGTAAAGATACGATCATGACTTAGTTTCTTGTATTCTGCAAACAACCCTTAGTTGCAGAGTTATGCGAGTAACTCCCGCGTAAACTCACTAGTCCTTAGCAATATATACTAAGTTGACCAAAGTCATTTGTACAGAGCTCCAGAACAGACACGAGTCGGTCCCATGCAGGACCCATGGATGATAAAAAAATTGCAAAAAAATTAAAAAAAAAAATGCTGACCTTCCCCTTGTTTTTATTCTATAAGATCTCTGTGAAGCTCCATTTTGTACGCATAGTGGGGTTCATACTATGTTAACTAAGGCTAAAATCGGTAACATCTTTAGAAAGATAATCTACTTCTATTTTGTAACTTAGGGGGGTTTCTTCTTCTATGCATCTTTGCTTTTGGGGACCCATGGATGATAAAAAAATTGCAAAAAAATTAAAAAAAAAAAATGCTGACCTTCCCCTTGTTTGTATTCTATAAGATCTCTGTGAAGCTCCATTTTGTACGCATAGTGGGGTTCATACTAAGTTAACTAAGGCTAAAATCGGTAACATCTTTAGAAAGATAATCTACTTCTATTTTGTAACTTAGGGGGGTTTCTTCTTCTATGCATCTTTGCTTTTGCTAAAGCATTTCACATGATGTTCAGACTTATTGCAAATGGGTGTAATGAAGAATATATACATGTTTTGCCTGATCGGAAGAATCTATTACGAAAAATAAACTCGAGGGAGATTTCGGTAATTTTTGAAAGTGGAGGAAATGTTTGTGTAACCAGTTGTGTTACAATGAAAGGGTTTCAATCCGGATTTTAAATCTAGACAACGCGTGTCATGCAGTGATTGGAGAGTTAGAAAAAAATAAAAATAAAAAAATAAAATAAAATAAACTAGCAGGCGCTGCCACGCAAAGTCTGGATCCAAAGTCGGGGTTTTAACCCTGTCAGAGCAACTTTTTCCTTGTGTTGTCAATGGCCTCAGGGTTGCCTATGTANAGTCTGGATCCAAAGTCGGGGTTTTAACCCTGTCAGAGCAACTTTTTCCTTGTGTTGTCAATGGCCTCAGGGTTGCCTATGTAATTCGCTGGTCTTGACTGGTCGATAGCTGGGTTGGATTTTGAAAACTATGCCATCACGTTTTTATTTCTAAAACTTTATCTCTTCGACTATTTAGCCAGCAAATTATATTATCATAATCATCTCACAATGACAATTGATTACCACAAAATCAACTCTTTTAATCAGGCTTGGAAACCTTCTAAAAAGTCCCTCAATGTTGGCTACGATTATTACTAATTGAACCCATTAAATACTCGTCTATTCCATTAGGAAGGCCTCGTATAAACAGTAAAGGGCTTATACTCTTTTACCATCATTATAAAAGTAAGAATAATACTATTTATCACTATTGGTGACGGACTAAGGTCAATAAATTTACCCTAATAAGGAAAGACTATCGACACTCATATAAATCTACATATTTTAACTTAGCAATAAAGTATCCGAGACAAACAAGATAAAAATACAAAACTAGAGATGAACAGTAGCAATCATGACGTTCATTACACTCCACAACATAAAAGACTACTTCCAAATAGCTTAATTTTACTAATAAAAAGAAAAGAAAACCTGCATAACTTCTATGACAAAGCAAACAGAAACTAGGAGAGTTGATAATTATTTATCAGCCAAACTTGCGTCGATCACTTCCACGAACTTGTGATGCGCAGTTAGCTGAGGAAAATGACCCTCGGTGTCGATAATCTCCACCTTGGTTTCGCCCTTGATTTTGTTCTGCATGTATTTGGGCACAGAGTTTGGAACAACAATATCATTTTTTGTTTGAATGATACAACATGGGGTCGTTACTTTCTCAAGCATGTCTCGATAATCGATCAAGAAAACAGTTTTAGCCAAGGTGAATGCAACTTCAGGTCTCATTCTTTTCAAAGATTTTGCGAGTTTTTCGACAGATTCAGGATCACTTGGATCGACTACGAGAGCAGCAAAACATGAAGTCCATTGCTCGTAGTTGGATTTAATACTTGAGAATATCTCTTCAACACCTGAGAGTTCAAAGCCTCCTTCATAGTCTTCTGAGTTTGTGCATCTGTAAACGAGGTAGGCATTATGTTACCAACTTATGAATAAAGGAAAATAAATCATTCACTCCAAATAATATGATTAATTGTCATAAAAGGAAAAAGAAGGTATGAAGTAAATGAGAATATAATTATCATAACAAGTAAATCAGAAAATAATTGTCAACGGACATTCCCTCTGACAGTAAAGAATACAAGAAAATATATTGCTGAACATTGTTTCTGGAGGAAGAAAGATAATAAATGAAGTCATTTGTTACTTGAAATCCTTTGGCGAAGCTTAAAAGCATATTTTTAGCTGCTAACCATCGAGAACAGCAGGTAAAAAACCAGATTTTAAGCGTGATCAATCATGCTGACATGACAAACATAGAAGAAATTCGAACAGAAACAAGGATCAAATTTCTATCCTATGATGTGTCTTAATTAATATTTGTACAGTACTGGTTTCATAGGCTATATTGAACGAATGAAACAGGACAGTTGACTCTTCTATAATCATATTCAGTTCTATTTTGTTCATGTTAAAACCTGATTTATTTCTTCTCCTAATCCTCCAATGGAAATGACAAAGAATCACTAATAATCACCAAGTTCGGCTTCCCCACTGACAGTCTAATTAAAAGGAAGAACTTGTAACAAAATGGAATTTAGCACCTTATTTGATGTCAACTTTTTCAATTGGTCAAACTTCAATTTTAATGGCACATTTCACGAGACCCACAATTTTATTAATTTTTCAATCAAATATTTAAACCAAAAAAAAAAAA